ATTATATTAATAAAATCTTATTGAAAAAAAAAGTAAAATTTCTTAATTTTAAAAATAAGAACGTGGGTATTTTAATATTTTTTCATGATATTTTTTTAAGATGATATATAATTTTAAAACATTTTTTATTTAATTTTATACAGTACAGATTAATATTCAGTAATCTTTGATTTTAATAATATTTATATATTTTTAAGATAAAAAAACCTATAATTATAGTACAAGACAACACAACATTCACAAATAAAACCTAAATAATGAGGCTTGTTACCAGTTTCGTGTCAGTAAAAGAAAAGAAGGGGAAGAGAATAGAAATTAAAATATGTTAGGTGAATATTTTGGTTGCAGAGATCGGATATGAAACTCACAAAGGAGGAGTTTGAAGAGATGCTGCAAGAAGTGATTGTAGAGAGTGGATTTACTACAGGGTTTAGAGTAAAGGACATACTCCCCTATATTTTCGGAATTCCGATTACTGCGTTTATGATCAAGCAACGTTTCGGACCGAAGACGATCCCTAACGACTTATTCATTCCGGCCATCACCTCTGCCACTGTCTTCCTCCTTGCAAAACTTCATAAAATTTGATCAATGTACATGGCTTGCTCATCCAAATATCAGAATGACTCCACAGAAAATACATATTGATAATATGGAGATTCTCATTCTCCTTAATATTCTTATTACTACAGGCACTTCATATTTTATCCTCTTTTTTTTTTTTTTTTTTAACTTATTATTTATATTAAAGAATAACTAAGGAAATTGTGGAATATTTGTCAACTCATTTTAATTGACTAAGGTTTGATCTACGTCCTCATGAATTCCTCTGATCTTGACTGCCATAGTAATGGTTGGGGAACATTTGGACCGCTAAAAACTAGATGGAGTTCATCTATTTTTCAGATTACGGCTAAAGATGGTAATTAAATGAATCAATGGTGTCCCTCCAACTGTTAGAATCTCCACAAAACCACAAGAAATTGTGAGAGAAAATCGTGCTTATTGCTTGCACATATATCAAACCAACATTTTTCATAAATAAATCTAATTTTATTGTTTTGTCCTAATTCTTCAGTATTAATTTGGAACCATAAACGTCGCTTCATAAAACTCAGAAAGGAAAAATGGAGAAGAAAATTGTTTGACACTGATTTGAATGTTAGTTTGTTGTTGGGGAGGAATAAAAAAAAAGGGAGTCTTTAATTTGATTTTCCTTTTGTTTTTGGGGAAAATAAAGCAAGGAATCAGAGAGAGTGAATTGAAGATTGGTTTTTTCATTGTTTTCTTCATTCTCGGTACTCATGATTAATTCATTTTAGTGGTTTTTTTCATCTGGGTTATCATGATTTCTCTTAGAGGATATGTACTGTAATTGTACCTTTAACAGGACTTCAAATGGAGCAAGCATGGCCAACAAATACACTTCTTTTTCCTTTTTATTATAACTCAAAAATCTGTTTCTCTAAAACAATTTTTTTTTTGGTAATTACTCTAAGCCCCATCAATCTTATAATTAAGATTGTATATCTTGGTATTTTTAATGTTAAAGTGTTTTAATTTTTCACTTTCTACTATAATTTTATTTTGTTATACCATAGGGAGGATTAGGATTTGCAATATCAATTTAGGACATTATTTTTGTAGGATTTCCACCCCCCCTTTTAGATCAGAACAATGTTATTGGTTAATTAAAATAGAGTCATAATTATTGAGCCTAAATTTCAATACAAAATTTTTGGGACTAAATGATTTCAACTATTAATTATGCAAATCCATATAAAACTTATAAAATCACCAATAGTTAGAATAAATTCATTTTAAAATTTAGTCATAAAAAATGATCCTAACTATCATTATTTTAAATAGTAATATCCTCGTAGGGAATTGATTTTGCAAATCCTAATCATTACCCTAGTAAAACAAAACAAAAAGTTTTTCTTTTTCTATTTTAGGAATAAATTTTAAGCTTACTTAAAATTTGATCATTAACACAACCATGTTATTTCATTAAAAAAGGAAAAAGGAAAAAGAAAAATTTTGTACCGCGTACCGCCCATGTCTTGATCCTTTGTTACAATCTAAGTTCCATTAAAGGTACAATTACGATCCTGTATGCCTTCTACCATATCTTTGCTTCCATCTTTTCATAAACTTCTCACACTGTAAAAAATATACACAATCACACAAAATTAGATACACAACATATTTTCATCTTCTTATGCCTTATCAAAATTTTCTATTTTTATTTTGTCAAAAAAAGGGGTAAAAGTACCAATTTTACAATTAAAATTTATAAATACATTGAAAACACAAGACAAAAAGGAGAAAGAATATTTAGACAAAGTACTAGTAATTCGACCATTTGTCGCAAAACTTAGTGTTTGTGATGTGGTTATTCTCCCAAGGAACCATAACAAAGTAGACATCCATCTAGATATAAATATGTTGTTGGTGATTTGAAATTACCTATCCGATCACATTTGGGACCACAGAATTATAGTGCTCGCCGAGCCCAAAGGCATGCCTATGGTATGATAACATAATGAAGCCTTTCAATGAATCAGAACCTGTTTCAGCTTTGCATTCCTTTCCCATCTCCACATCAGGGTAAGATCCTGAAAATATCATAATATGCTTTCTCAGGCAGTGAGTTTAAGCTCCAAGCTCTAACTGTCCTCCCCACGCAGCTGTTGACTCCACCTCTTTACAATAATTCTCGAATCTCTCTGCTGGTGAGTTGTCAGCATTTTCGTGTTTCATATTCTCAGACAAGAAAAAGGGGAGGAAATCAGACATGTGTTTCCTCATATAACCAGCAACCATTTCACGCAGCTCTTGCTGGTGTGTATAAAGAGAAGAACCTCCTGACAGAAGAGTCAGCTGATCTTCAACAGCTCGGTAGAGGCAGTGTCCATCTGGCTTTATTTCGTTAATGGTCAATCCAAAGGGTTCAAGTTTTTTCACCAGTTTTTCATCTTCAATCATTCTCTCACTCACAATGTTGTTCTGCTCTTCTTGAATTCTTTGCTCTCTTGCAGCTTCTTGCTGAGCTCTTTTCGCTCGTCTCTTTGCACTCCTTGCTGGGCTTTGAATGGTCAGGCTGGTTGGCAACAGAAACCCCAGCTATGGCCTTCACCAAGTTGTCAAGATTGTTTTTCTCATTTTCGCTACTAGTGCTGTAACCTAATGAAGAAAGCTCTTCAGCATGCTTTTCTTTAAGCTTAGCAAGAGTCGAGAGATCTCTTCCTCAACCTGCTTCTTTTTAGCTTTCTGCTCAGCCTTGCTACCCTTTGCTGCTGCCTTCTTCATTTCAATTTCCTTCTTCTGCAGATCAGAAATCTCTTTCCTGCACATAAATAATGTCATTGAAGGATCGCAACGTAAGGAGAAAAGAAGAAAAATTTAATAATAATAAGAATAACAAAATTAGTGAATAAAGCAGTTAGGCACTTGACAGTAAACATAAGAGAAGCTTAATATTAACAAGCAGATTAAATGTCCAACAAGATTAATTCAGGACAGACAATATTATTCAAATTTCAAAATACATGTCTCGAATATCTGCAAGGGGGTTAGCAAGATTTTAGAAGTAAAGTTCATCTTCTTTTGACTACATATTAAATCCTCCATTCTCTGGCCCAACCACAACATATAAGCTTAGCCAAACTGAAAATTTAGTCAAACAGCAAGATTGCAGTTCTTGCTTAATTTCCATATCAATCAACAAAATGAAGGTTTGAATAGTTGATAACAAAGATTAGAGGGCATCTTACCTGTGACTAGATAGCATTTCATCATGAGTTTCCTGTTTTTTCAAGGTATTCGACAAATTTGCTTCTGGTGGTTTGTCAGCTGTTCCTTGATCATCCGCCATGTGAGCAACCCTAAAATCAAAGAGGAAATCAAAGCTATGAAATTGGACATAATGTATATGTACTAAAAAGAGACTAAAACCATATAAAGCTATAATTTGACAATAGTTATTCAAATCTAAGCAGGGAAGACACTGCCAAATGAGTTGGCAAAATAACCAGCCTCCATTTCAGCTTCCAAATATGAAGAAAGCTGTTAAAACCCAAAACTTATAATACATTAATCTTTTAAGGCAACAAATTTCACTCATGTAAACTTTCTACATACATCAGAATACCATCCATAAAAATGTGTCATGGCCAAAAAAATAAAAAAATAAAAAAAAATCCATAAAACTATATGGTAAAACCTACTCAGGCCAGGACAGTTTGCACCTAATATCAGGGGCCTGCCTCTTATGCTACGTTTCCTGTTTTGTAGTCCAATACAATCTGGACAGCGAGACAATTTTCCTTTTTTTCTAAAATGTATGCAAACTACAAACAATTCCGATTAGCCACTGCTTGTGATTGGACAATTTGCAAGTACTGATAAGATTAGTTGAGCGAAAGGAAGGGATACCCAAATGTTGTGAAGAATGAAAAAAAAAATATATATATATATATATATATTCTAAAATTAGACCCAACAATTTTTAAAAAAATTAAAAAAATTTAAAAAATAAAACTATAAACCGTCACAAAATCTAAGTTTAAACCGAAGAAAAAGAAAACCCATATCACGGAAATCATAGAGATGCTCAGAACACTAAATACCTTCGGCATCCATTGAAGAAACTAAGAATCTGACACTGCTTAATTGAAATCATTCTAAAAAAGAGAAGTTAAAAACATGAAAAGAGGAGGGTTACCTACTCAGAGTAGACCCAAAATGGTTTCTTAATTAACTCTTGAACCTGTGTTACAGAGGATCCCAAAGCCTTGAAATAACTAGATTGGAGATGCAATCTAGATCCTCTGCTCTAAATTTCTCTCCTCACTCAATCAGAAGCAACGGAATTTCCAGTCCCCTGTCACAGCACGCGAGTTTGGGGGCCAGAGTCAAGGACATCATGGTACGGAGCTGCAGCCACAGGCACACAGACGGTGTGTGCCGCGTCCAGGAGACATGCCATGCAGCATTGCAGAGTGTGAGTGCGGACATGAGGGTTGGCGCGAGCATGAGCACAAGTGCAAGTGGAAGCGTGGACGCGGGCATCCTGGACGAGGGTGTCGGTATCGCGACACGGGGTTGCGATTACGACACATACGCATACAAGGGTACAGGCGCAAAGTGGATCGCTCGAGACACAACGGGTCTTACCAATGGAGGCGTCGATACCGAGGCCATGGCGTAAAGTTGCGGACAGGACACACAAGAGTGTGCAGGAGCAATCGGGGCGACATGCGTGTGCGCGTGAGAGTGTCTTGGCCCGAGACATGGGTACACGCACGGGCAAACTGGGTCGAGGCACTGGCACGCATGGGTGCGGTATGGCTCGAGGCACTAGGGCGTGCGAGCGCAAGCACGGGCATTGGCGCGAGTGCGACATGGAACGCTCGAAGGCGGGCCTCGCATGAGTTGGCAGTGTCAATGCCACGGCCGTGGCATGGGGTCGCAATTGAGACACACAAGCGCGCGCAGGAGCGACCAAGGGCGTCCACATAGTGTGCGATGCGCGCAGCGAAAGAAGTGTCGACATGCGAGAAATACACGTGGATATGGTATCAACACCTTTGCAGTGGACTGGAGCGGTCCAAAACTCTCTAGAAACTACTAGGCGCGCGTGAACAGTACCAGACAAGGGTCTGGAAGGGCTTGTCGGGCCAAGCCCGACCTGAGTTACTTCTAGGGCCTTGTACATAATTCTACAATGGGTTTTTTTAGAATATTGTAAGCTAGGCTAGGAGGGAGAATGGAGAATGTTCTGGAATTGTACATATGAGGGGAAATTTGTGGAGTGTTTTAGAGACCTCACCTGTAAAGGGGCTTGGGCCTGATCTCTTCTATAAATAAAAGAGGGGCAGATGCAGATAGAGAGAGAGTTGGCTAGCAAGAGTGAGCTGCTAGGTGAGTGAGTGCATAGAGGAGCTGTGTACTCATGCTCTTATACACTTCCTCGCGATCTTAATAAATTCTCTTCTTCTCCAACTTCCTACCTTCGTGTTTACGTGTTGCTAACCTCAAGCCCAGTTAAAGGGCCACGCCAAGAGTTGGGAAAGGTTGACTTGGTTCAAGTTTACGGGGTTAATTCTGAGCTAAGTGCCACATGAGGTTGAGCTAGATTCCGCCTTTGAGATAAGTGCTATCGGAGTTAGTCTCACCCCGTGACACCCCGCTCTCAATAACAAACCCAAATGGATGTTTTCGTTTTTCTTTTTTTTTAATGTGTTGGTTTTCTTGCTTTTGAACGACGCCGTTTCAAAATCCTT